TGAACACCTGACCACCTAAACATATGACCACCTGAACACCTGAACACCTGACCACCTGAACATCTGAAACCCTGAACATCTTAACACCTGACCACCTGAACATCTGAACACCTGACCACCTGACCACCTGACCACCTGAACACCTGACCACTGGACCACCTGACCACCTGACCACCTGAACATCTGACCACCTGAACATCTGACCACATGAACACCTGACCACCTGACCACCTAAACATCTGACCACCTGACCACCTGAACATCTGAACACCTGAACATATTAACATCTTAACATCTGGACACCTGAACGTCTAAACACCTGAACATCTTAACATCTGGACATATGAACACATGGACACCTGAACCCCTCTGCTCCGGACTCCAGTCAGTAAAAACCCACGCTGGGTGTTGGGTCAGACAAAAATAATGTGGGCTTTGTCTTTTGGTTTGTAGATGTTTTGTCCTTTCTGGGCTCCAGAGGACAGAAATTCTTCTGTTTGCCTGAAAGCAGGACTAGTTGAGACCGTGACGAGAAGACAAAACCTCCATCAGTGACTGAGAAACTAAATTATGATGTGACATTTTATAACCTCAATAAAAAGATGTTAATGAAATAACAGGACGAGGTCAGAGACACTGTTACCATGGAGACCCTGCTGTTTGACTAAAAACAGTCAAACTCCACAAGTCACTGACAGATCAGCATCTTCTGTTCCAACAGAAACAAAACGTGTTTTTAATCAACTTTTCTACGAGATGTTTCCAAAACCACAGACAATCCTGGATGTCTGTTTAACATGAGCCACATGCTGTTGATGTTTCAGGACAAAAGTCTGAATTAAACCACAGCCCCTGTAATCCCTGAGAGATACGTATTTGTTACAAACGCCCTTATCCTTTCATCTTTCCACGGGTGTTCCACAAGGCTGTGTGCTTGGACCTACTTTCTACAAATGGCCAAACGCAAATTTATGAAGATGACACCCAACTAAACTTATCATTTCTACCAGGAAGCTCAGAGATCTCAGGACGAACCTGAGCTGATCTTTACATGGAAGAAAGAACGCTGCCTGGTACAAGCAGAACGTTTGTTGGGTTAATAAAAACAGGATGATGGATGATGGGCTACTGGAGGAGAGACAGAACTAAACAATTAAACAGGTTTTTAAGACTTTTGTCAGAACTACGGCTTCTGTGACGTTCCTCATTTCAAACACATATAAGTTTATATCTGAACCACTTCATAAAAAGGTTTATTTATTTATTATAATATGCTGAATAAGCAATTTGAAGGTGTTTGTGGTCCCAACAATCATACAGAGTCTGAAGTCTGTAGGTCACAACGAAGAGAAAGAAGGGACTCATTGAGTTTTTAACGAGGAGCAGAATCCAACAGCTTCATGGTGCGTCGGTCCAATGAGACGAGGAGGAGGAACAGAAAACAGCTGCCGAGGAACAAAACATCAGAGACGGAGGAAAAGACGAACCAAACTGAAGAAAAGAAGATTACAGCACAGAACACAGAGGAGGTCTGAACGAGCGAAGACAAGAAAGAAAAAGAGGAGAAGAAGTCAAATCTACAGAAACGTTTCAATAAAAAATGAAAGAAGTCAGAAAAGACAGTTTGTTGGAAAAACGACAGAAAACAGCAGGATGGATGGAGAGAAACAAAAGAAGAAAAAAAATGAAAGATGGAGGGATGACAGATGTGAGAACGAATGGAAAGAACAAAGTGATGAAAAGAAAACGAGGAGGTTTAAACAAACGCTTCTTTTACCTCCTGAATAAATATTTAAATTCTTTCAGGCTGAACGCCTCCGACTGTTTCTGATTGGCTGAGAGACTCCCCGCTGTCATGGAGACCAGAGGAAGCTCACACACACACACACACAGCATGTGGGCCATCCATCCTCCTACATCCTGTCCTCCATTAATTATCCTCCTCCTTAAGAAAACAGAACAGAAAGGATGGATGATGGATGGATGATAAAAACCCTCCTCTTTCCTGACCTTCAGCTTCTGACCTACCTCACTGTGTGTGTGTGCGTGTGTGTGTGTGTGTGGGTGTGTGCGTGCGTGTGTGCGTGCGTGTGTGTGTGTGTG